AGGTGTGACCGTGTGGCCCCCACCACACTGGCCCAGGAGGGGCCCTATATCAGCCCTAATGCCACTGCTGAGTCCAGTGTAGGAAGGAGAGGGCCAAGCTAACAACCAGGTGCTTTGCGCTTCATTTCCTATAGACAGCTGCTCATGGGGGAGCTCAGCCCTCTGCCCAGCAGAGCTGCGGGGACCAGGCTCTGCTGTCAGTGTGGGACCAGCATCTCAGGAGGGAGAAACCCTGCCGGGAGGGGGGCATATCCATCCAACTGTGTGCAGGGCTGGCTTGGGGGGTGGAGACCCTGCCTGCTGGCAAGAGGCATCTTCTGAAGCCCCATTTTGCTACAAGCACATCCCTGCCCTGTGTAGCTTCTGGTCTGCAGAGAAAAGGAGGAAATGGAGTAAAGTGACTTGTTCCCAATCACCCAGCAGGTCAGCGGCAAAGGTGGGGGCTGGTCTCCCGGGTCCCAGGACACTGCCTTACCCACTGGCCTGCACTACTTGTCAGGTATGCAAATGATGTTCCCCTCATCTACATCAGCCCCACACGCATGAGCTATTTCCACAGGACTGTTCACCCAAAGCAGGGGGGTTTGCTGCTAAGGAGGAAGCTGCCAGCCCTCAATAGGCCCATTTCTATTCACTCACAAAGGGCTTGGCCCCTTATAGATGAACCGAACACCTGCCTGATGCCCGCAAGAGTATGGGCAGGGGCAAGTGAATGCCCTGGGCAGTGGTACTGCATACCACAGCAGAGACAGCAGCTGCCACTGGCCCCACCATAGGCTCCTTTCCTTGGTGGGGCCATCCGCGCATCCGTGCTTCCTGGGCTCTGCATCTCCAGAGCAGCGCTGGGAAGACATGGAGCACAGGTGGGCAAGGGGACCCCAGACAGCCACAGGAGCCTGGGGACTGGGGGACGGCATGCAGAAGGAAATGCCAAGCAGCCCCGGTGAAAGGTGGAAAGCAGCTCAGGTAGCTTTCCCCCCTGCAGGGGAATCGTCCTGAGGATACAGCCCCCTAGGCTGTGGCTGCAGGTGCACTGCCGATTGGCGCAGCAGGTTTCATGAGAGAGGACAGGGAGCAGCATGGGGCAATCCCCTGCATCCAGCCCTGCGCAGGGCGTGTGAGCAGCATCTGATGGAGGTTCACATGTCCAGTGGGCACTGTTGGAGAGGCTTAGAGGACCAGAACCTCTCCACACAAGAGATTACGTGAGAAGTTTTCTCCTGGGTTCAATCAGATGATGCCTTCCTTAAAACTCATTGCCTTCCATCAGGACATAGGCTTATAGGGAAGTGTTCTCCCAAGCTGACCCTTGTGACCACCAGCTCATGCTCTGGTCCACGTGTTTAGTGATTCAGAGAAAGTTTTGGTACATCCCGAGGTGTGGACAAGATTATTAAATGCACACTATGGGCATGCCATGGCCTATGGCTTTTACCCTTGAAATCATAGATTCAGCAGGTTGGAAAGGACCTCAAGGATCATCTGATCCGGCTCCCTGCAGGAAGAGAGGAATGCTATCCCTACATCATCGCTCTCAACTGCCTCCTCTTGAAAGCCTCCAGTGAAGGAGGTTCTGCAGCTTCCCTGAACAATTCATCCCACTACCTCACCCTTCTGACAGCACGGGAGATTTTCCCGAGACCTAACCTAAATATGACGTTTACCAGCAGCCAACCTTAGTTTCATGAATGAGTCTGCAGCTGATTTATATATGGCTCATGCAAGCAACAGTTTCTCAGCCTGTTGGAATAAGAGGCACTCACCCATGGCAATTCGTCTGGAATACATATGCAAGTTGTAGCATAAAGCCTGCAAATGCAAAGCCCCCTCCCAGGCTTAGCAGCAGAAAGAAGGGGTCCCATCCAGTCGATACTGATTTGCATTCACATTAGAAATGAGAGCTGAATGTCACTGTGGAATTGGGGAACTAAAAACAAATGAGCTGGCAAAAGGAGATCCCAATGTCTCTGCAACATATTGCAGACCCTAAGTGTCCCTGAATGCCAAAGCTCTCCAGGCCAGCTACCCCAGCAGCACACAAAAAAGTGATCAGGAGCAAGTTTTTTTCAATTTTGGGGAATAAAGCAATGACAAGGCGTTGTGCTCAGCAGTGATCCCAGTGAAGACCAAATCTACCTTTCTCTCCGCAGCAAGAGACCCTGAATAGTCTTTGACCTGCCTGGGGCGCTCATCTGTAGCCGGAGCAGAGAAGGATGGTTCAGGATTATCCTCTTCCCTGACTGCATCTGAGGGGCTGTATCTATTTCATACTGTGCTAGTGAATATGGACAAGGACACTGTACCACAGGAAGAGGGAGGTGGTAGGTCATGCATGCTTGTGGAGCACGAGAGCATTAAACAGGAGGAGACGTTTTGCACCATTCCAATGGCTCTGCCCTTCTCCGTGCTCCCAAAGCAAACTCTTTACTCCATGCTGCCTTTAAAAGCCCTAGCATGTTGTGCTTCAATGTGCTCCTTACCTAGATATTGTCCCTTGCCTTCCCGGAACGGGGGTCCCACAGGCCCTTTCACCATGGGTTGCATGTATTTCACTTGAGCGTAGCCTGCTGCTCCTCCTCCAGACACTGAGTGGATCCCAGCTACAAGCAGCAGCAATGAGACAGCTTCTGAGAGCATCCTGGCTTCGCTGCTAGGCTTTCTGTGGACAAAAAAGGACAGCCAGGTTAGGGAAACATGGGAGCTGCTGCTTTTTGCCTCCGAGTCCCATAAAAGTTCATGAATAAATATCAGCTTGACTGGAGGACAGAGACAAGTGAGTTCTGAGTCCGTGTTGCAATTCTCAGTTTGCCAGGACACATGTACCCTTCCACCCTTCGGATAACATGGCAATGAGCATGCTACCAGAGCCCAGCAGATTATACTGCTTGCTCATAAACACCAAGGGCTAGGTCTACCATTGCCCAATACCATGTGCAATCCCTTGCCCTGTGAATATGGCAGTAAAAGTTCAGGATCTGACCTGCATGTTTGCAGGATCTGAGATGCTCCCTATCACCAGCCCGAGTCAGTGAAGCAATGCCATGCAGGCTAAGGTGACCAACTGGGCATACCCCAGGGAAGGCTCAGGACTCAAAAGGGCAGACAGCTGTGCCTCCCTTTGTCCCCTGCTGCTTCCCATCACATTTCCCTCCTACCCCCAAGATAGGTACAGATGGCCAAGCTGTGCTTAGAGGGCTGCTGCTGACCATCAGAGAGGACTATCAGGTCATACAGTACTGATTGCTAAGTGTCCATTCTGTACGGAAGGAGCTGTTATCCTCTGCGGGCTACAGTAAGAGAAAAAATAATTGACTGTGCACAGCAATAAAGCGAAATGTTTTGGTGAATGCCTGGTTCAGGACACAGTGGTATATATTTAGCCAGAAAAGCTGATAAGCATGGAGGCAGGTTCTGCCACAGACTTGTTGTGTGACCCCCAAATACATCACCTCACTTCTCGGGGCTCCGACTCCCTCTCCGTACACTGTGGATAACAACCCTGTTGAAACTATAAGGCCTTTGTGCGACTCTGACTCATAGGCCCATTGCCTGGCTGAAGGGGGCCTTGATCGTGGCCGGGTCGTCTAGGTAATATGGTAATATTATTAATACAGAATAATAAGGTATCTAATATATGGTTTCAAAGCTGCCCAAACGAATGTTCATCCCAGGTAAATTATACCCAGGTTGTAAACTTCCATGAATAATTATTCTTTATCTATCCATCTATGGAGATGAATTCTTTATACGTATAAAGAATTCTTATTCATGGAAGTTTATAAACCAGGAATAATTTATGTGAGGTGAACAATCATCTCATTCAACTATATATAAAATTATTTGTTTCTTCGTCAGGGGCCTATACAGGCTATAAGTTTATCAAGGGAGGACAACAGATGCACTGTTTACCAGAGTGCCCCTAGGAGTAATTAGGAATAATGGGTGCAAACTAGTGGAGAGTAGATTTAGGTTAGACATTAGGAAGCAAGTTTTTATAATCTGGAATGGGCTTCCAAGAGAGGTGGTGCTATCACCTGACTTGGAGGTCTTCAAGAGGAGGCTTGATAGTCACCTGGCTGGGGTCGTCTGACCTCGGTCCTCTTTCCTGCCAGGGGCAGGGGGTCGGACACGACAATTCTTTGTGGTCCCTTCTGACTCTACAATCTATGAAATAAATACACGTGTGTGTGCGCGCGTGTGTGTATATCCATACACACGTACACATATGGACACACACACCAAGGAAAGAAGCCTATGGCAGGGCCAGTGGCAGCTGCTGTCTCTGCTGTGGTATGCATATTGTATATATAAAGTCATATTGTCTATATAGAAATATAAAGGCAGGGAGGAAAAAAGCTCTCCTGAGCTGAGAGTTGTTGTCATATCTCTCGAATGAACAGGATTTCCTCTAACAAAAAACGTGTGCGCTTTGGAGTTGGCTCTCGAAAAGACTTCAGGTTCCAAGTCCGGGCCTCACTCCGTGATTGAAACCTTAGAGGCGCTGAGCTCTGTTTGCTCTCAGACTGGGGAGTGGGTTCACGAACGCCTGTAGCTTTTGGCGGCCAGCAGCTTGAAAAATGAAATGTCAGAAATGAATTCCCACTCCAAGGTTTGCCAGTGCTAGTAGCTCTCCGCTGCGGTGCTTTTTAAACAGCAACAGGAGTTTGTTTGGTCAAGTACTTATGAGAACCTTTGATTGCGAAAGCATAGGAGGTTACGCTGCGATGGAAGACCAGACTCTGCCTTAAGTGCCTGTTTATATAAAATAAATACCCTCTATAAATATATCTTTCCTCTAGCAACATTTTCCTTGCCAGCTTCGAGAACCGAGCTGCAAACAGATTGATTTGCACCAGAGAACATTTATTTTCAGAAGCTTAAATAACACGGGATGCCAAAGAGCCGGCTATTTCCACCCCCTCCCCAGCACACACACACACACCCACCAGTGAACTGCGGTTGCTATTAATAAGAATTAAGCACTTGGCCGTTCTCTGCTGGAGAAAGAATGAGCAGAACTGCTCCTCAGCTGGATTTGATCGGCATTTCCTGAATTGCTTCCATTGAAACGGCAGCAAAAAGCTGCAGCATGAAAAAAACCCCAAAACAAAATTAAACAAACAAAAAAATCAAAATAAAATAAAAGGAAGAAAGAGGGGAGGGGTGGGGAGAGAAAAAACCCAGCAGGGAACTGATTCTGATGCTACAAACTCTTGGCAAAGCCATCGGATGTCTCTAGCAAAGACACCGAGCCATGAACCACTCTTCTTCCCCCCCAACAAATGTTTATGAAGTCTTCTTTTATACTCGAGGACAGCACTCCTGCAACTACGCAGCAGCTCGGCGGCGAGCGGAGTACAGCGTTCCAACCGTCTGAGGTAAAGGATTTGTCTTGGCTGCCTCCTTTGGACTTCCATGTTTCCACTCCACCTTCTTCCATCCCCAGCCGAGGAAATGGCTCCTTGCAAAGAGAAGGCCAGATCTGATGGGGAGCAAACTAGCACGGCAGCTTGTTCAAGTGCCTGGAGAGCGTGAAGGAGGGGATTTGCTCTTCTTTGCACCAGGGTCAGAGGCAGGTGGAAATTAGAGTCCTGACTTGCCTGGCAAGGGCTTAGTGGGCCAGTCAGATGGGGCTGCTTTAACAGTGAGAGTGGTCTAGTGCAGTGGTTCTCAAACTTGTTCCAGGACCTATTTGGCAACATCCATGGTCGGTCCCAACCCAGTGCCCCTCACTCCCAACACACTGCCCCCCACCCCAGGCCCCAGCCCCGCAGTGTGTGGGGCAGGGGGAGCCCCAAGCAGCCCCTTGCAGGCTGGAGCTCTGCCATCCTGCAGGGGAAAAGCCGCGGTTTTCCACGTTTTTCTGCTTTTAAGGAGAGTGCATTTTTAAAGTTTGTTCCCAGCCCTTTCATATATTCTTGCAACCTGCTTTTTGGGTTGAGAAACGCTGGTTGAGTGGTTAAAGGCCATGTGTAGGGTTGTGAAGATGGGGGTTCTCGCTCTAGCTCCATGTCACTCGCTCACGGTGTGAGGATGGGTTCCCCTCTCTAGAGACAGCTGACAGTGCTACATCTGAGATTGGGTATGCGGCTTAATTAACTTAAGTCACTGAAGTGCGTTGAGATTTTCACAGGAAAGTACTAGAGCAGTGCACAGTAATGTGACCAGTAGGCAATAATACCTGAGCTCAGAGGCAATCAACTACAATGACAATGAAGCCAGAAAAGTGCTTAGCCCAGTGCCGTGAGATAAGCTGGGGTCCTGAGCAGTGCCCAGAGGGACAAACAAGCTATCCCGAAGGGGTGTCCCACATGCCAGGCCAATGATGACAGCGAACACCAGTGCACCTAGACTTGGGCAGCTTGACAGAGGTGTTTCCTGATGCTCCTATCTGCTTCGTGCACGGCAGTATTTTTAGTCCTTTTGCTGGAGGGGTGCAGCCTGCTGAGAAGTTGCTCAGTCTTGCTCCCAGCTTCACCTATGCCTTGGTAAGCATAACACAGCCAGCAGGGTAACGGGTCCTGTCCTTCAGACCATTGGGGCAGACGAGGCTCTGCTCTACGGCACCTCTGCTCAGGCTGCTGAAGGATCGTTTTTGGCGGCAGAAAGGGTTCGAACCTGCACGAATGCCGAGAGCCACCAGTCAATCAATGGGGAGCATGCAGCACCTCGCCTGGTCCCTGGTTAACTGGAACTTGAGGACACCCGGCTCCAGATGAGGGCAGGACTGCAAAGGAGCGGAGCTGACAAGCCAAGTTAAGGATCCTCTCCAAGGAAAGGAATTAAAAATAAAGACGAGAGGCAGACGACCTGACACGGGGGCCGGGAGTGTGGTGGGATGTTGGACTGCAGCGTGCCCTGCCCTCTTAATGAAAAGTTTCCAGAGAATGCAAGATAAAAGCCTCCAGCCTCCTTCATCCAGGGTCAGAGCCAGCAGGGATCAAAATCTCTCTTCTGACCGAATCCCCAGAGAGCTATCCAGGGTTATTTCCCATCTGTTGAGCTTGTGGGACAGAGGTGCTTAAGTGCAAACAAGGGCTGGCTGCATTCAATGAGGTGACCTATGTCACAAGGCTGTAATCGAGGAAACTATTACACAGCCCGGGAGAGGCGTTTCCTGGAAAAACATCAAGGCAAAGCTCCAAGGGATGAAATTGTTTTGCGCATCTAAACCTTGGGTTAGAAATTTAAAATGGGAGCTCGGAGTCGGCTGATCCGCTGAGCGCTGCTCACGTACCGCTGAAACCATCTCTCCTAGGAAAAGCTGCGCTTGCCTCTCAGAGCTGCTCGGCCTCTTCCACACTGCCCATTTTTGATGACTCCTGAAAGCAGGATCACTTTTACCAAGCTGTTCAGCTAAGGGAAGGAGGAGGAGGAGGAGGAGATGTATAGCAGGGTTGTGGGAGACAGGATACTCAACCCGCGGTATGACCTGAGAGAGGTCATGCCCCAGGCCTCAGTTTCCACATCTGTAAAATGGAGATCAAGACTAAATCTGGACAAATTGATTTTAGTCAAATTTCCAGAGCCCTTCGAATTTGTGACCTTCAAATTTGTGACCACTCCCATAGCCAGAAGGGAGATTGGGGTGGGGGGGAGAATCAGCAATATTTAGTTTTCACAAGAAATTCCCACAACTATTTTTGGTTGCAAGGGTGT